GTCATCAGGAAAATGAGATTTTTAAAAGCAAGAAGGTGCAACCTAACTCTGTTTCTGGCAAACAGAACATGGCTATGCTGAGAGAATTTGAAAATCCTTTTCTGACTCTCCAGCGAGCTAGGGGAAAAGGTCAGCAAATCACAAATTTGGTTCAGCTTGACTACACAGGCTATTGTCAGAACGAAAACAAAACTATAGCTATGTACTTGGCTTTTTCTCCCCGTTAATTACACAGGTGCAACCTAACTCTGTTTCTGGCAAACAGAACATGGCTATGCTGAGAGAATTTGAAAATCCTTTTCTGACTCTCCAGCGAGCTAGGGGAAAAGGTCAGCAAATCACAAATTTGGTTCAGCTTGACTACACAGGCTATTGTCAGAACGAAAACAAAACTATAGCTATGTACTTGGCTTTTTCTCCCCGTTAATTACACTCTAGATGGGAGTTTATGAAATATGTATTTGTAAATATATGGTATCTCTTTGGTCCCTTAAACTATATCTCTAACATTAGCTCTGTGCTTATGCCTTGGACATCAGTGGAGCTAGTGACTTAGTTGGATGCGAATGCCGACCTGGGTATTGCTGAGGGTGTGAGCTGATCTCAGCCCTGTTTTTTTTCCCTAGTGACCTTCTTGATTAGTGTCAGGCTATTGTGTGTCCTTGGGTGACTGGTAATATCCCGACTATATCACCCAAATAACAAACCCTTCCCTTGTCCTTCTCTTTAAAAAAAGGTAGAATACGGTTCTGATCTGGAAGAAGACATAAAATCGGAAACAAGTGGCTATTTTGAACAGATTCTGGTTTGCCTTCTTCAGGTAATGCTAGAGAAGAGAAATGAGGGTATAAAGATCTTCACGTTTTTCTCTTCATTTTTGTAGAAGACATGCAATAGAAGAGGCAATAGTCATGATCACCAGATAAACTGCAGAGACAAACATGTCACAGAGGACTGGATCTGTGTTTCAGCTTCAATGTGACTGAAGCAGGGGAACCCCCTCCCTTAGCACCACTGAGAGAGCTGGGAACTTACAGTCAGCCCTGCTGCAGGGAGACGCCTCACTTCTACATATGCGTAAAGCCGTTGCACTCTACAAGGGTCTTAGGAAACAATGCCCCTCAGTTGATTCACCACTCTTCCAGGGTCTGTGCCCTCAATGCTGAGTGCCTTCGGGTGCATTTATCCTATCACGTTTTCCACATTTTCCTGCCTAGCAGCAGAATAACTTAGCGATTGTTTGGCTCTGCTTCATATGACTTATTTCAGTGCCTGTCAGTGAAGGAGTTAGCACTTGTGCTGTCTGAAACATCGCTGCTTGAGTACTCTGCAGAAATAGATATCAGAGAAGGATAATTGATCTTTGCCCAGAATGTACGCTGTGATCCTTACATATATGGAAGAATCTTCACGAGACAAAATGGTTACCTTTCTTTTTCTTCTTATAGGGTGAGAGGGACAATGCCACTCTCTACGTGGACACAGCACTGGCTCTCCAGGATGCAGAGGTACTCTCAAATGCCTGTGATCAGTGATATGCCTGCATCCCTGTCTTGAACTTCAGAGTGCTTCACTGAGCAGCAGGGTCCTGGTCAGCAGAGGGTTGGAGCCACAATAGTTTGGAGAGGGGTGGTCTTCAAGCAGAAGCAGCCTGGGGTTCTTCAATTTTGCCTGCACGGCTGAGCCTTGCTGTTCCAAAGAGGAATGATGAGAGCTGGGCTTAGGCTTAGCTGCTTTTGATATGTGAAAGTATATGGGTATGGTGGAATGGGACAGCAAAGAATAGGGAAGAAACCTCAAGAGTATTGTTGGCTGCTCCAGCTGCTGCAGGAGGGCTGGAAAGGGTGGAGATAGTGGCTGCTCCAATTTAACTAGAAGACAGAGTCAAGGGTTTTCATAACCAACCATTCTAGGAGAGTCTAGTTCACACAGTGTTTTAGGTTACTTCAGACCCCTTTACCCTAGCAGTGCCTTAAGCCAAACTCTGTTCCTTTACGAGCTGCACACACAGAACATCTCTCTAACAACGGTGTGTTAAATTACAGACTCTTTATGCTGCTGGGGAGAAGATACGGGGCACTGACGAGATACAGTTCATCACCATCTTGTGCACAAGGAGTGCCACACACTTGCTGAAAGGTATGGAGCAGAGCCTACACTCCCAAGTCTCTGAAATGAGAAATCAGTCTAGCCAAAAAGAAGAGGCAGGGCTGTAGATGGGAGAGATGGGTGGTCAGAAAAAAGTACCTGAGTCTGTCTCCTAATTCTTGGTCACTCAGTGACCAACAGCTGCCAGAAGCTTTCATGAAAACTTATGAAGACTTAGTGCTGCTGAAAATCAAGTAGCTTATCTCAGAGTCCTTATACAGTGGTGATGGCTGGATGGTATAACTGTTTTTATAAACCAAAGGAGGGGGGGAGAGAGAGAGAGAGAGAGAGAGGGAGAGAGTCCCTTTCTAACCAGGTAGAAGCATGCAGTGGACAGACCCATGACTCCTTGGATGTGGGTTCCTCTGGGGAAAAAAAACGCCAGAAAAGTAGCTGGTTATTCAGTGCTGGAGAATCACAGGGTGCACCTTGCATTTCTGCCCCAGGTTCTTCTGAGGGCAGCAGAGGCTGCTGGGAGGGAAGACACTAATCCAGCTCCAGCTAAGGGAGCCCTCAGCTCCCCACTGCCCTGTGCAGCAGAGACCTGGCCTTGTCATCTCAAGACTTTTGAGGCAGTCCAAGGCTCTGACTAACAGATTTTGTTATGTCGGCTGAATCTAAGCATATCAAGTACTGTGTAAATCAGCTGGACCTAATAATTTAACTGATGGTAAATTAGGTATGCCTAAGCTTTTTCAAACTGAGGTCTTCTGAGGCTGTCTTCTAGATCCTGGAGGCCAGCCCCCCCTTGTGTTTCAAATTTAATCTCCCAGCATCACTTAGAAAACAACAAAAAAAGTGGTCTCTAGTCTTTGGCTGTGTCTGCCTTTAGGAACTGAATTTCAACTAGTTGTTGTCGGGATGCAAGCAATCTTTGGGACCTACTGTATCACCAAGCAAGTAATTTCCTCTGTGCTACAGCAGCCTGTAACTGTTTTCCTTTAAAACTTGAATGTAATTGTTGCAGCTAATTTTTTTTTTTTTTTTTTTTGATATGGAGAGTAGGCCCGAATTGAGAAGGTTGTATCCATCTGTCTATTCTGTTGGTATTGCCTTTCCCCAGTCTTCTAACACCCCTTTCTGAGTGTTAATGTTTAGGTATCTGATCTTGAATGCTGAGCAAATTCTATTAAGATGTCCATTGCATTACATAGCAATTTTCCTTCTTTGTTAGTCTGAGAGCTAGGAATCAAAACTGAGATCTGTAATTCTGAACCCCAGAGTATCCAAAGTGTATAAGGTGAACAACTCCTCTGTTGCTGAGCTTTTGTTAATGTGGGAGTTCAATTATCTTGGAATCTGCACCTGTGTCTTGCTCATCTTTTCCGAGTTGTTTTTTTAAAATCGTGATTGAAATAGTAAGTTTTCCCAAACTGTTGTCGTCATTTAAAAGTCCAAGGGCCAGGAGCAGCATAGTCCTAGATATAATTTGATTTTATTTTGGCTCCTGAAGCTAGTGACATCAACAAACACAAGACCAAATGATGGAGTTGTGCCTAACCTTCTGTTGTCTGCTTCATTTCTGCGGTTAAAGGCAGCGATGAAGGGTCAGATTTCCAAATGAATATGAGGTGACTGAACTTGCATTTTCAAATGAAGGCAAGGAATTAAGACCTGTGGATGGATTGGGTTTTTGTGAATGTTGCCATCCATTTTTGTAGCTGATTTCTGGGCTTGACTAAAGCCTCCTGAAGTTGGTGCAAATGTGGCCATTGCTTTAGCAGAATCTGTGTTTTCATATCGCCACACAAGCAATACCTGTAAATATTGGGCACAGAATGTCTGAGCAGTTGCTTGGTAAAAAAATTGAAGTTCTTTGTGCTTCAAACAGTGTTTGAAGAATACCAGAAACTGGCCGGTAAGAGCATAGAAGACTCTATCAAGAGTGAAACTCATGGTTCACTTGAGGATGCCATGCTGGCTATTGGTAAGAGTGGCTACGTTTCCTTTTCTTTTGCCTGAGTCTGCTGCCTTTTCTCCTGCAGCAGTTGACTGTTACGGGATGGATCTACTTTATAAAGGTATCTGGTAGGAAGTAAAGGGTACTTCTTAGGTAAGTAGATAAGCTCAGATCCCAGGGGCACACAGAATTAAAGGAAAGCATGTTGAATCTCTGTTACCTGCTGCACTGGACTGGAATTACCATTGATTCTTACTGAGCCTTTTTGTATGCCCTAGTGAAATGCACCAGGAACGTCCATTGCTACTTTGCAGAGAGGCTGTACCATGCTTTAAAGGTAAGACTCTTCATTGTAACGTACTTGTTTTCATACTGGACTTAACTTGTAACCTGGCTTCCACCAATTCAAATTAGAAGAGCCAAGGTTGTGGTGAAATCCGGCAAATTTAGTGCTATTGTTGCAAGTAATGGCAGAATCCCTTCTACCACCTTGGGTAGAAAAGTACCCTTTAAGCTTGAGATACCAAGGGAGTCTGGCTTTTCTGACTTAGGAGTCTGCAAGGAGCCCAGTCCCACCTTTTGGAACATGGACAAAACTTCTGGAAGATGCTTTTCTAGGAGGTTGATCATGGTGGAGTTTTGCCCATAATGTTAACTTAATGGACTGAACCACAATATTTTCTTTCTAGGAAGCAATTCTCTCAATGGCAGTATAAAATGAAAGAGTTCCAAATGGGGACACATAAGGCATCTGTAGAGTGTACCCCTGTAAGTCTTAACTGATACGTAAAGGATGTCAGCTCTCCCAATTTTGTGGAAAGCTGAGTGATTATTTTTGTTACTGATGTGATCTTAATTTTCCTGTGAGTGATTAAACAATATTGGTTGAAGCCAAGTGTTGTATGAGTGGTGCTGCAGAAGGTCAATATGTATTCGGTGCCCACTTCCAACTCTGTAGTATGTTTGCTTTTGCATTTGACATGTGCAAAGACTTACAGCACACTTCCATGGCGGGCTTGTGGTATTGACAGTGGCCCCTGGGAGGGGGGTGGGGGTTGGCCCTCCAGAAAGAGAAGTAGATGTGCTGCAGAAGATGTGCCAAGCGATGTTTGAAAGCTGATGACTCCTGCCCTGGACCAGTTTGCGACAGCTTATCCCTTGAACATCCACTAACACCACAGACTGATGTATCTGTTATTTCAGGGGGCTGGCACCGATGATGAGACTCTTATAAGGGTGATCGTTTCTCGAAGTGAAGTTGACTTGAATCTTATAAAGGCTGAATTCAAGCATATTGCAGGAAAGTCTCTCTCCAGTATGATTCTGGTAAGCAGCATCCTGATATGATAGTTCTTAGCCATCACATACATTCCTAGCCTGTCCAGCACTGTGGCATGCTTCCATGGTTATTTTGAGTAAAAATGTCATTTCTGCTAAGATCATAGCTCTCCTTCATTAGGCCTATTAACAGTCAGCTCCCTGAGAGACATATATGCCTGAAAGGTGAGTCAGATTGTATGCGCTGTAAGTGACTTGAGCAAAGCCAAACCCGAGGGGAGACTGCTACAGGTCTTTCATGGACCAGACTCTGTATCCATGCACTTCATTATCTCCTAGATGAATCTAGATTCATTTAATCCTCCCTGTTACACCTTTCCCACACTGCTGTGCTATTTTCTCCTCTCTCTCTCTGCTGTCCTTAACTACCTCAAGTCAAAACAGTGCTGCTTTTTTTCTCTTCTTTTCTTTCTGTTGTTGGTTTGGGTTTTGTGGGGTTTTTTTGTTTTGTTTTAATTTTTTTAAACTGACTTATTGCAGATGAAGGCTTGGCCTATACCGTGGCAAGATAAGCTTTGACAAGGTTCAGTTTCTAAACCTATTGTAGCTTTTGAGGTTTGAGTCTCTGCTCTGAGTGAATGACCCTCCCCTATTAGGGATGAAATGCTGGGGTTTACCATTTGTCCTAAGGACTCGGGGACATTCCTGTCCCCCAGCGCAAATGGCACAGAAGCTCTATTCTTAGCAGTCCCCATGGGAAGTCTGGTTCTATAATGAGGGCCCTTTCTTCTATTTGATGCTGTCAGTGTTTGTCATGTTGACTAATGATCAGTCTTCAAGGGTCTGTTCGGAATATTCATTCCTTCTGAGAAGTGGAACTGGCTTTACACCTGTCATCACAAAACATTCAAAGGGAGCAAATTTTTTATCAAAATGACCATATTTGTGGCTTTTTAAAAAATGTCATGTGTCAGGGATAACTATACTGCCTTTTCCCTTCCTGTAGGGGAAAGAATGCTACACAATACCAGGGACATAAAATCTGAGCACAACAGGGTTGGTTGCTCTCGTTCATGCTGACTTTGTCTGCGCTGCTGTGTGGGATGGTCTATTGCTCACCTGCATTCCAAATAAAAGAATTGGACTTGATACATGTTATTTCAGGTGGCAGCTACAAGCCTCATTTCTCTGTTCACTTTTGATGGCATGTCAGCTGGCAGTAACTCTGCTGAAATCTGGCTTGCTCTTTCCAAAGTCCTTCTCCTGTGTGGGCATATTCCACGGACTGACAAAGTCAGCACTCAGAGTGTGCAGATGAACTTCCATGCTCACCTTTTTTCTTTTTTTTTTTTTCTTTTTTGTTTTTTCTCCTGTCAGGATGACACCAGTGGCGATTACAAGACAGCCTTGCTAAATCTCTGTGGCAGTGACTGACAAAATCTAGGAGGAAGATGCTGAAATGGATTCAGAGGGAAAATTAACAGTGAACAAGGGTCTGAAAATGTACATGTAGAAAATCTTTCTATTGATCCAAGTGGGGAGAAAAAGAAGATCAAATTAATGGTCAGATTTCCAAAGCTCTCTGAAGGACATGGCTGCTCATTACACATTAAAAGCTATTCACTTCCCTAACAGTTTTTCAAACGCAAGTGGGAATGTTTCTTTTTTGTATACATTTTGTTCTGTGCAATCTCCCTTCTCTTTTAACACACTGTGAAGGGTGGCACTTAGACATGAAATTAAAGGCTTTTTTGAGTCATTGAGCCCTCCGTAGGTGTTTCACAAGTCTGAACAAACCTACAAAGCTTGGGCTGTCCTGAAGCCTTGCTAACTTCACTAGGACAAGCTGGTACAGCATCGACCATTTGATGCTAGCAGGGTGCATCTGGAAGGAGTCCCAGATATTAACGGGGCTTTAGGGCATGGGTCAGAATGGAGAGTTCAGCCTTAGGGGGGGCTGGTTTAGCAGCCTTATCTGCATAACTTCAGTAAGGGCTCCCCAAGGAGCAGGGAATGGCAGAGCCGAACTGGCTGTAAGTGTGTGAAAGTTGAAAGCTGTGTGCCTGATTTCCTTCTTGCTTGTGTGAGTGTCCGTAGGGGGAGACGGACAAGTTCAGCGAGTGACATCAATGTTAGACTGTGGGGAAATCAAAACTGGGGCGGATAATTTGTTTTTGGTGAATATAGGATATCCTGCTCTTGGGAGCAGACCTGTTCCTGCTCCTAGTTTCACAGTAATTTCACAGAGGTCAGTAGACTCCTTGGAAATCCCCCCCCACACACCTCCATGACTGCACCTATTACTTGCTGAGTGAGGCCCCAGGTTTGAACAGTGATACAGAGAGAACCGGATGAAATGCTTCGAGAAGCTCAGGTCTGCCTTGACCAGTGATTCTCCACACTTAAAGCAGCTCATTTAAATGTGTAATTAACAAAAGCCATTGTGTTCAGAGAAGTAGCTTTTCTGATCGAGTGGGTGAATTTTCTGGCAGCGGGGTGGTTCCTCCCTTGCACTGCTGAAATGAGCAGGAACCAGTGCAGTGAGAGTCTTAGGGAGTCCAGGACCCAGCGCTGGGGTCAGGGTATCTGCATCCCTCAGGTGAACACGAAGAGGAGGAGGTTTCATTCTCTGATCCTTTAAGTGCTTGTGTTTTCAGTGGTATCCCAATTTCTCACCTGGACTAAAATGAGTTGGAGACATGTCTCTAGACTGAGCATCAAGGGAAGTTCTTCACTCAGTTTTTGAGGGGTGTGGGCCAGCTCCAGGCATCAAAGGACCAGAAATCACATGTGCCTTCTGCTGGCCAGAGGACCCACTAGATTTTTCGGAGAGCCACGTGTTCTCATTGACAACGATGATCAGCTTTCCCCTGGTTTTGCTTAAGAGCAGGTTCAGGTGCTGATTTCTGGCAAGAGGCAGGCCGGGACCGGGAGGTGGTGGTGGGGGGAAATGCCAGCTGCGGACAAACCCGTGCTTACACCACCATCTTGTGGGTGACAGCCTGTGTGCAGCCGGGCCGGCAGCGCCGCGGCGGGGAGCTCACGGACCCACGCGGGACCC